GTTTGCAGTTCCGATTGTCCTCAATATATTTTCCAATTGATCATCATCCAATCTATCCATTGTTGTCAATAACAAGGTATGCAGTCTGATGAAGTGATGTCTTCTGTCATTGTTGTTGGTAATCGCTTCTAAGCTTTCGATCACTTGTTCCCTCAATTCGGTTGCGCTCAGGATTCCGTCCGATTGGGTAATCTCGTCAATCTCAATGTCTTCAATTTGTTTAGCTTTGCCTTTGTTTTTCGCTTTCGAGAATGACGGTTCACCGTTGTTCTGACATAATAATGAATAAAAGTATGGAATAACGTTTTAGTTACAGTTTGATAGTGAACAACGTACGTCGGTGGCTATGCGGTAATAAGACTATTACGCTTCAATTCTCATACTGTGTTGCTTCGTACTGTTTAACATTAATAAATGTTATGACATATTAATAGAACTTACTATGGTTTCTGCCATCGCTGGATAATCGCTATAAACTAAATTAACTATTACTATTATCACTATTTATATGGTACTAAATGTCACACGGACGGTCCCAACCAATCAAAGTTGTGCCGTTCGATTACACCCTGCAACATAATTTTACGGTGAAGTATATCTGACTTCCCTACTCCATAGTCTGTGTAGTTACGATAGTGATAGGATATAGGAGATATGATGATTGTCTCTTTGACGTTTGTATATTTCCTGCGGCAGTATATGGTTCGGGAAGTTTTTACTGGGTATTGTAATTTGGAAGTTTACCAATTAACATTTTTTGGATGATCGGTCAAACGCCGATAAAAGTTGTCTTTTACAATACTCAATTGATCACTTGCAGTCGAATTACATCATCGGATGAATAAAAGGAATGGATGTGAAAAAAAGAGTCCGACCTCAAACTCCGGATACACGCGCCGGAGGATTCAATAAACGGTAGTTAACCTTTATTAAGATTATTTTAGGGCACTTGCGAGGATGACACGAACGGAGGCATTTCTACTACGCTCTGTCAACGACCATAATCTTCAATAACAACTATTTGCTATTCTTATCGTATGTCAGAAACATACCGTGTGAATATAGTTTGGCATTTTCTACTTTGCATTATCATAACGTCAAGTTCTTGGACATGTGCGACATTAATTCTATCTATAAGAGACACGTTTATTGATGATTTCTATCTAATTAAGGGCTTAACAATGCCCGATTGGTCACAGATCATTTTCCTACGCAATTTGTTGTAGCTACTCTCTATCTACAAATAAGGGAGAGATAATCAAATTCGGAAACGTAATCGGCGTTCAAACGAATAATTTCTTCGGTCTTTATTGTATCCATTAAAGTAAACATCGAGCAGTTAATAGGGAGAATATTCTGATATCCCATTTAAAGTTTGTTCGTCCACTCAGCAGACTTACATCACCGAGCATCAACGTGATCCACCAAGTGGACAATAATCACAGCACACAAGCTATTGTCAGAGCGTAAGGCCAAAGAGCAAGCATCCCTCTATCGTATATAAATATAGATTAGACTTTACTTGTTTCTAAGATGCTAAATAAATAGGTTACATGAATAATAAAACAGAGTAACGTAGAAAAACTATAATAAATGCGATTATTTTCGACACGGATGAATGAACAGGCGAAAAAGAGTTGAATCTTTTTCTATTTAATGGTGATTGTTGAAAACGAAGATATACAAGTGTTGTCTAACTAATGATTGTCATTTTGCATGATGAATTCTAAATGTAAGAAATAAAACTCTATGTTGGTAACAACGGAAATATCTAAGAAATCTCCGCTTCGTCATCTTCACTCTCTGTTCGTTGAAAGAAAGTTTTTTAACATAAAAATATTATTAAACAGATTGTAATACCATTGAAAAGACATTTAAAAAGTCTCATACCTGGTTGCCTATGCGGAATATGAAGACATCTTATCTTTAGATATGAACAGAATTGGCGGATAACGATTACTGCCCAGTAAATGTATGCAATCAATACAAAGACGAAATAGCTCAAAAGGTAGTAATACTCGATCTTGGGCGTTAGGATTGGATCACTAATTTCAGGGTGAGGGGAAAAAGAGAAATATGTTGAGATTGAAATGTTCTCGATAGTACAAATTGCTAGAAAAGCAAACTACTTACATATGAAAGACGATAGGAACGTTGGCCAATATCGCGCCAACTAACAACGGGATCAATTGCACAGTAAACATAGGAAACGGTGTCTTTGTCACATGTGCCAATATAATCTTTGTGGCCATGCGTCCGAACACGATACCAGTCGTTAACGCAAAAAGAATAAAGTGCTGATCTTCTAATATACTCGAATATGGTGATGATAGCCATAGATATCCACTAACAGCATAGACCGCAAATGATAAATGTTGAGGTAGAGTAGCTAAAAATGAGCGTTCCTGACGTCGGCATGCTTGATACACGTTATAAAAGCTATATGTTTGAATGAAGGGGAGGGGTTAACCATGCCATGTCTTCATGTAGATCGCAACAAAATTGAATGTTTGTAGATGATCTTACCTGGCTGGCAAAAGGCAAGTCAAGACCATGGTAGTGATGAAAGCAAACATCAAATCCGTCAATGTATAGCCTTGTACAAAGTCTGGAGCTTTCGAACCGAAAAATTCATGTAAATCTGTTTTCCAGAATCCAGGCCCTATAGGAAAATATACGTAAGTACAATTTGACAGAAAGTTGTCATGTGAATTAAACAAGCAATAGCTTACCTAAAATGCCGGATATTATCATAACAATACAAGCAGTAATCAAACCCTCAGTTGGCCCGTTGACATATCCAAGATAGAGAACACCCGTCTGATATTCTTCCCAGGTGGATATGTAAAAGGGAGCGGTAGTCAAAACTAATAAGAACGCAGAATACCATGAATGACCCAGTCCCATGGCAGCCGATTGGACGATTGCTCCCAAACTGCAGTTCAGTGCATCACATCCATGGTCAAAAAGTTCACCGAGTGGCGATGATGTTCCAGTTCGTCGCGCTTGCCGTCCATCTATGTTGTCAAACGTTGAGTATAGCCATAATCCGAGGGCAAAGCTATAGAACGTGCATACGGTATCAGTTATGTGCCATGGAAAGCAAATGGAGTTTCGCCCATGGAGCAATTCTAAAAGAATAAGAACAAACAATACTGTTCTTTTTACCTGAAATAAAGCCACGCAGCTCCTGGGCCGACAAGGTCAGGTATAAATATAATCACACACGTCAAATTTATCAGTATAAAACCAAAGCCGCAAAGCGTTATCAGATTCGGTCTACATTATGATGAGACAGAACAGTTACATGTTAGTGATTATTATATTATATCTATCTATTTATATTATATCTATCTATGTCCTCAAATATCAAACATATTGACGTCTTTATACTCACGCCATCCATAGTGGGAATGGTTCAATGACCAAGTCCAAATAGGGCTTTAAAATATACTTTGATATTGGAGACTTGTCGACCGATGCATATCGATACAGCTTCAAGTTGCTGAGACCGACTTCGCCAATGTAATCGGATTCGAAGAATAGCATTATGTTCAAATATGAAAATACAAAAAAAACCTTAACCTTGTCTGGACGGATGTTTATATAACACGAGAAACTGTATATCTCTCTAACATGCCAACACGGGTACTTTTTTTTTTCTGTGCTCTAATAAACTTCTTTTTATCTAACGCCAAAATCTCTGAAATTGTCGCACACAGAGATGAGCTAAATGATACAATTTTTAACACACATGAATCTACCTGGAAAGGAAAAATAAGCCCTAAAGTTTTTATGTAAGCAGGAATTAAATGCCAAGTATAATTCTTCTCTTTCCCATCTCACTGCCCGTACAATGACAGGTGGTGTCACGTAGATCGACAGTGCGCCCATAACTTTATCAAATCTTGATCAAAATGGCGTCATCCTTACTCGTTATGGGTGTTCGCATATGTTACCCCAACACGACCCTCAAATATGGATGGATTGGGGTCACATTGGGGGGGAGGTACTAATTTGCGTAACTTGCGAAATAATAGCGATTGTATGCTAGCTGGTAAAACTGAGCGGACTATTCTTTTTTTGTTTTGGTTTTTCCTGCCATAAGCTGGGGAGAGAATTGGATAATCCGTATGGTTTTAGGATTTCGTACATATGACTTTCCGGGCTTGGGTTTTCCCCAGCCATTCTACATAATAATAATTGTTGACGATCCTTTGCATTTTTATCTTACGATTTCCCATCTCTTGGCTTTATTAGTAAGAAAAAAAATTTTTTTTAATCAAACCATCAACTTTTTATAGGCTTGTGATGATCACACCCGAAACCCCTGACCACATGTGAGTGATCTGATTTAATTAATCTATCAGTGAGGTAAAATGTTGATTTGGGTGAGTGAGATTTGAGTGAGAATAAAAGACCAACCGTCCTAATGGAAGGCAAATGTTCTGCCTTTTATCTGTAATCAATGACGCTAAGGAAAGATATCAAATTCAAACTGCAAAGTCCATGAGCCTTAAAGTACAGTAGTACCAAAAAGGAGATTGTCCGTTGAATAGACATCACTCGATATCAATTTTGCCTCTTGGGTATTCTTACAACGGGAAGGTAATGTTTGGGTTCGTTTCATCGATGATCGTGTCAATTAACGTCTTATTCGTATTGAGATAACGTTCATCTTTACAAAAAGGAGCACCGTAGTTTGCTTGCGAATGTTGCCGTAACCTGTGATAACTAGGAACTACATCATTGTCTTATTATAATTTTATTGGATGGCAAGAGCTCCTCCTCAAACGAGGCCGAACAAGCTCTCATTGAAGCCATCAACCATATTAATATAGATGCTGGTTTATATCATTTGAACAAGAGAATTCGACCGGCGGTTACTTACATTGTCAAATTAATTAAGACGTGTGTCGATCTAACCAAACTGTTTCGTTTAAACCGTTGGATGTTGCGACGTCGACGTACGCAACAATAATGATACTCTAGTGTCCGCTTAATTTACAGCAAAGTCGAGGATTTAATGATCGTTCCTAGTCAATGAATCTGTTTAATAATGTGGTATTAAGATGAATTGTTGCACTGTAATGTTTGTTATTGAATGTTTATTGAATGTTTACTGAATGTTTATTAAATGTTTGTTATTGAAGCACGATTTTTAACGCGTTTGTGACAGTGCGCTATTTAACTTCTGTTACACTAATATCTCGGAGTTCGCTTGGCTTAGCCGAAAAGAAAAAAAAAACTTCAATGGATGAACTCATGTTAATCATATTATACTTTCTGTCTTTTGAAGATCATATTGTCCCAGACCAAGTGTTTTAAGGACGAATTCTCTGTTTCGGTTTTAGACTTTAATCCAGAAAAGTCATTAATATTAAATCTCGATAACACAAAAATTTTTACGCTCATCCGCGATTGCGCTCGAATAAGCGTTCTAGTACGATAATAAATAAAGTTTTTCTATAGAGGACTGACTTGACATTTTGACGCAGCTCCCATTTATCCGACAGAACGCCGGCCTTTAGTGATCGGTCAATCGTAGGTGATTCAGTTCAGGATATGACCAAAGTTATGAGCAGGTAACAAAAATGACCAACCCCCGCGAAATGCATTAATATGAGACTTAAATCCAGGTTACTTCCTTTCCAGATGTAAGTCTAACTATATTATATGTTTCAGTAAACCTTGAAGAAAGCTCTAGTCTCTTTGATGCATGTGGAGTGTAATTGACTTGCCACATCTAAAATATCTACAACAAAATAATTATCTGCAAATTTTGGATGCACCGATTGGAAATAAACAAATAAAGTTGGTTTTTTTTTCCTGCCTTACTGTAGAAGGAAAAGATATTATTAATCGACTCGACAAATTGCCATTCTTACAAAGTTTTGCATTGTCTTGGTCCGCGGTGTGCGTGGCGTGGGAATCAGTTTTATGGTTTTTATTTCACGTGCAGAAACAAAAGTAATGTTAAACAATGTCGGTACTTGACTCTGCTTCAAACTTTGTTGACTCGGAATTAGCTAATTGTCTCAAAGAATACGACTATGGAATAAAACAAAATTCAGTAAAAGTCTCAAAGCAGGAACCAGGCGTGTTCGAATTAGTTCTCCTAGAAAACGTACAACTCGTAATACGCGTCACTCAGCATGGGTTCTTGGTGAGTTTCAGGTAGACGACTGTCGACATTACCTATACTTGTTAAATAATCGACCGTATTTGCAGATTGTAAAAGCAACGCCGCTCGAAGACGCAGCAACTGCAGACGCGGAACGAATAAAGGTCCTCAACAAACCGTTTGAAACTATGGAGTCTCTGTTACAAGCAAGCAGTGCAAAGTTTGCTGAAAGATTCTATCAGGCGTTATACGCTAAATTAGCTGCCATTGACGAAAGCGAATGAGCTCAATCTCACATGTCTGCACTGATTACGATCATGAGACACTAGAACTCCCAGTCATCAATAGACATCCTGTAACTTTCGCTAAGAATGTACGATTTCGGTTTCTTATCACAACCTATATTACTCGTCCAGTGAGACGCATGTACAATAATTACTTGTGCTTTGTGAACCATGTTAGATAAGAGTAGCAAGGAGAGTGTGGAAAATGAAGAAAAGAGATTGTCCCATAGTTTGTTTAAAAATAACAAATGCTCTACAATTTGACTCGTTATGAGAAAAATTTAGACATAAAGTAAAAAAAAAAAACGAGGAGCAAGATGAAATGAATGAAATCTTAAAAAAAAAATTGGAGTACTCCAAAAATGACAAGGTGAGTCGACAACGGTGAAATTCAATCTGCTCTGGTTTGACTAGTATAATACAACGGATGAAGATATACAATCTTCTCCGAAATCCTCCATACAAAACACATCGCACTTTTCTTTGTCCCAGTTCAATTACAGTTAATCTGATTCAAGCCGCCGCACGGCCTTTCCCAATGCAACCAGCAAAGTTCAGCTCTTACATGACCCCAATCAATGTTATTGTATAAAAAAAAAGTCCCCAATTAAAAGAGATGAATAAATAAATTCATGCTCGGCTACTATTCCCATCCCGGTTTAAATTCTGTCTTACAGGTTCTACAAATAGATGAAAGAGCAAGTCGTTTAGTCGAGTAACGTACAGATGAGCTAAGGGAAAATTAAGCACTCACCGAAATAGGGGTGATCCATGGCCTCCTTTGGTGTAAGTCGTTCCTGAAAGATGTATTGTGAGTATGACGGACAAAATTGTCAGGCAAATTGATAAAACTAGTTGCTTCAGATTTTGTACCTGATGGTCATAACGTAACAATTTATCAAGGAAGTCGATTGCTTCCTTAGAGACAAATTTTGCATTTTCTGCTGTGCAAAATTTATTCCAGGGTTTTCGAGGGTACCTGAATGTTATTTACATTTCACATCTACTTTAGAATTGTTTCTAACAGACAGGCGTATTCGATTTATTCATCGCATACCTTCCAAGAATATCGTCATACTGAGCATCCAACTCTATGTCGTACTTGTCAAGATACGCAAACAACTCGTCGGTCCCGAGAACTTTCGCAATTTTGACTAATTGATCGAAATTATCATGACCGTGAAAGAATGGTTCTTTACGGAATATCTACGAGCAAGCAGAGCGTTATAAACAAAATATGACAAAGTTCATGCGGTGTAAGGTCACCTCATACCATGCTTGCAAACATACAACCGAGGCTCCACATATCCAGAGAATAATCGTATTCCTGGAAGTCAACTAGCAATTCCGGGCCTTTAAAGTATCTTGAAGCTACACGCACATTATACTCGGTTCCCGGATGGTAAAATTCTGCTAGACCCCAATCTATTAGCCTCAACTACGAAAACGACAATTAGAACACATCGTATGAAATTTTAGAGGTGGAATTTCGCTCAAAGACAATGAAAGAATTACGACTTACTTTGCGTTTTTCATGATCAATCATCACATTGTGAGGTTTTACATCTCGGTGCATAATTCCTTTTGAATGGCAATAATCCAAAGCCTGTTAATCAATATGGGAATTTCGTTAACTTTGTTGCGTCTATACAGATGGAACAGAATTCGATTACATATGTCCTACTTATCCAACTAACCTTCAAAAGTTCAAAGATATAAAAGCGCACATCGTAATCCGAAAATTTTGGGTATAACGTTTTGAAATCGGTGTTATTCACGTATTCGAAAATCAAGGAAGGTGTTTTCGACTAGGCAAAAAGAAAAGGGAACAAGAAAAGCTTTAACGAAACGTCCCAATCCAATATAAATAACTCCTCCGCTATGCACCATCTCACCATCCCACTTAGCGTTCATCTCTAAGTTGATACGCATATCTCCTCACGATGAACTATATGAGTTTCCCCGAATCAGCTAGAATAGGACAAAAAGAAGGAATACGACAATGCTTGAGCGATCAGACGTTATACCTGAGGATCCCTTACAACATCTAATAGCGAGATAATATTCGGTCCACCAGCTAGATTTTGTAGAATCTTAATCTCTCGCTTAATTTTCTTCTTTTTCACAGGCTTAAGCACTTTAATCACGCATTTCTCATTGTTAACAATATTAATTCCTTCGAATACTTCAGAATATTTTCCGCGTCCAATCTTACGCACTATTTCGTAGTTATCTTGCGAGCTACTTCACCAGTATGAACGTAAAATGGAAATTGTAAAGTGCCAGATGTCAGTACATTGTTGAATAGCGATAGATTGCATAAACAGAAGACCAACTAGCCGCATTTCGGTTGTTTGGGGCGTTATACTAGCATAGATCTGTTCAAGAATAACTCGACGCGAAAAGGTTTCTCATTGCTTACCCCCATTGCACTTGTAAATTATCTGCGGATAAACAAGATAGACAAGTTAGCGACTGTAGATCAGCTCCACACAAGTAAAAATTGACGACGACGTGGGCCGTACTCCGTTACCGGAAATCCAACAAGTTCATGATCATCCTCTAGCCATAACACCAAATTCACATACCATAATCCCAGTATTCTCTCGGCAAGGTCTGGTTTACGTTGGCGTACGTGCGAGCGACACTTGTGTACGCTGACATTGTGCTGTGTTTTTTACGTGCTTGTGACATGAAGGGGAAAGCATAAGTCCGTTTTTTTTTGAAGTGGCTTGAAAGGATGGTCACAATGTCCATCACGTAATGAGATCTGAAGGGGGGTATATAATTATTGTAAGCAGACGGTTTCTTGTGAGAGTATTATTGGGCAAGCGTTTGTATTGTGTTCAAACATCACGCGTTTTTATATAGTCACCGGGTGGTATTACACAAGTGCAACATGAGTACGCCAATATTTGTTCCGGGCATCTTGATTAGTTTTTTTAATATTAATGCGAAACCAGAGGTTAAACATTAATGTGCTAGCAAGAAAGAAGTGAGGTTACTATTTACGAGATAGTTGATGTTATCAGGAATGTGCTTTTAATTGGCTACAACTGAAACCATATGTGGTGACTATTCGTTAACGCCGCACATCCAATATGTACAAAGCCGAAAACCATTTATATTTTTAGTAGCAGTAGAATATACGCTCCATTCTTTCCATCGAGAAATTGGGTTTTCCATGTGTCTTTTAACAATCATGATTCTTTAATGACTTGGTTCTCACAATGTTGACCCAGAATCTAAGATAGTTTCCTGATTTCTTTAACGCTTAACAGAATACTCTAAAGATAGCCACCGAACATATAAAGGAGTATAATTAGCACACATATAACTGAGCATATCCCTGCCAGGTCTTTCGCAAAAACCCACCATTTCGCCCTTTAGCATGTAAGGTTAATGTTTCCTACTATCATAACCGAGCGCTCCATGATCTGTTTAAAGCAAAATTACCCAGCCAAAGCCTTTCGATCGATGTCGCTGTCTAGGAAACCATCCCGTGCAAAACTTCTCGTCCCGTTGTACCCGTTTTCGTTTATGGGGTCACAAGGAAGCATTCAAAGTATCCAGCATCGCGAGTATTTATCGGTCAAATGCCTTCAACGTTCTATTGTTGCTAAGTTTCTTGTTGAGATAGAGCGTATATATTGTCCTAGCCGCACAAATTTAACCGTGTACGTTGCTAAATTGAGTAAGCTAAACGTGTTTCTGTAGTTATCGCTTCCCTGATACTAGTAGCTGATACAGTATATTAATATAATCTTGTACGATATAACCAATTGGCACATGACGATTCTTATCGATTATTATTATGGTATAATAAACAACGGTCTAACTGTCGAACGTTAGTGTCATCATCACGAACACATTCGTCAAATGTTGATCATACAAACTATTATTGAAAGCTCAATTGACGAACTACTACCTGGCGGAAGAAACTGCCTGCGTTTTCTGTACATTACGTTCAGATCTGTAAAACGTGTTGCGAACGCGTTACACGCGGTAATTTTTACTCCGCCCATACGAGACCGGCAAGGAGAGATTAGGGGGGGGTTTTGGTGAACTAGGAGAAGATAAAAAAAAATAATTGCGTGCAAAGCAGCTCGTTTTCGGGACAGTAAAGGAAAAAAGATGGTATTTCTCTATAAGCAAATATTGTAAAGTTTCCAACAACTTGTTTTTATTCAACTTATTAACGCTTGAAACCAGGTAATATTTGTTGAAAAGCGCGCTTTGGCTCGACTAAACTATGTAGAGACTAACATCCTCTATACAGTTTAGAGTAACATCCTTTTAGTTGCGAGCTTCAGGTATTTATATCATATTCATATTTCTGTGAAACAAGTTTTGGGACGATTTGAGCCAATAAAAAGTACACTCAGCCATAATGCACACTTTACTATCATGTGACTTTCAATAGTGAACTTCAAACTCGATAACTTTCAAGCGAAACAAGCTACGCTTATAAAATCTGTGCTGCTACAACAACACTTGCCCCATAAGAAATAGAGAAACTTTTATGTTAATATAAAAAAGTGAAGTAATATTCCTCACAACGCAATTTTATATACAAAAACCGATCAAATTACATTCACTGAACAAACCAAATTCATGTCTGGTGTTTGTTTTCGTTTTTATTTAAAACAATCCCGTATAATACAATATTACTTCTTACGGCCACCAAATACCTCCTTAAAATAAGGATGTTGGAGAGCCTGCTTAGCCGAAATCCGTCGCCCAGGATCGTAAACGAGCATCCTCTTTATGATTATCAGAGCAACAGTTGATTCAGTAATGCATAATGCAACCTATATATAGTAGTTCACGATTAAATTAGGGGGACTTACAGCAAGCAGATCAATTCCATCCGCGTCTAGCGGTATATATTTGTCTAATGGTACTGATTTCCAGTTCGGAAAGACGTTCTTGTAATCTGGTAACTTTGATACGCCTGGCCATGTGACGTCATCTGGTGTTCCAAGGTATCTACATAGACCAAGTTTTATCATTAGAAGCTAAGAGTATTTGTATAATTCTGAATCAAAAATAACAAGTTTTCTAACTTGAAGATCTTAAAGAGTTGATCTATTTCCGAATCGCCTGTATGAAAATATTTTTAGTAAGAGGTGAGGTAAGGCAGAAACGAGATAAGAACGTGCCTGTTAGGCGTTAATACCTGGGAGGAACGGGGTTCGAAGCGCCATCTCTGCAATCACGCAAGCAACACTCCATATATCCACTCCTATAGAATATTGCCGTATCCCAAGTAAGATCTCCGGAGCCCTATACCACAGGGTCACAACCTAAAGAAAAACAATAACAATCATCACCAATCGTTAGAATCTCATTCGAAACAGAGAAAAATCCCTATGGTCAATCATCTTTTTTTCCTGTCCGTAAAGTTTGCTCGCTTACTTCATGCGTGTACGGCCTTAGGGGAACGCCAAATGCTCTAGCTAATCCAAAGTCGGCCAATTTGAGATTACCGTTTTTATCAATTAACAGATTCTGCGGCTTAAGATCTCGATGGATAATGCGATGTGAATGACAATACGCGACACCAGTAACTAACTGAAATGCTAATTTCTTATTAAAAGAATCAAGAAAAAACGCAATGAATTAGAACGGTTCTATAAAGCAATAATGATCAGAACTAGTCATATCCCATAATACTTTTATTTCTTGCGGATCCATTACATGCTCCTTTGGGATGTTGTCCATGTACCGTTTTAAGTCCATGTCGAGGAATTCAAAGACCAGATATAGTTTATTATCCTGATATACAATGTCCAAAAGTCTAGTAGCATAAATGAACGTAATAAATGTGTTATCATCGGATACGACGCGTACGGCCGAGAAACGCGTCCCGATGACGCTCATGCTACTATGCTAAGATGGATTATAATAAGAATACTCACTTTACAATGTTATCATTGTTCATCTCTTTTAGCAATGAAACTTCTCTTATAGCCGTCGAAGGAACACCCTCATCATCCGCTTCTAGTCTAATGCGTTTCAGGGCGACTATCTGTCCCGTCTGTTTGTCTTTTGCCTTGAACACGACACCGTATGTGCCTTTGAAATGCGTCGTGTTAATACGTATAAATTTACGAGTTATCCAAACAAATTCACGAAATAAACCGAACCATAATCTCTGCTGAAACTCTTCACTGTTAAGTTAAGCAATACCTTCTCCTATTTTCTGGAGCTTGTCATAATTGTCTTCCGTACTCATTTCTTTACAGAAAAGCTAAAAAAAAAAAGTAGCAACAATAGTGTAAAAGCGAAATAAAACAAACAAAACAACGTATTTTATATTGATACACAAATGGATCTGGAAATGGAATGACGACACGCGCCCTGATTTACCTTAAAATCTAGACGCGAAAATCAGTGTTATTCGATATCTTTTGATATCTTTAATAGTTTTTGTTTCATACGATACGAACATGGAATACAACCAGCGATCGCAACGAGCATACAACTTTCCTTTTCTAAAGGTAGCGGAAATACCTTTAATGCTGAATGACTTAAATATTCCGTTTACCGAAGAAGACGTCAACAAACCGAATCCGGTTCGTTTTCAAGCAGCGCTTGAAGTATTTGGTAACGGGTTAATGGGGATTACGCTCAATAGTCATCGACCGCAGATCGATGACGCATTGGAAGGATTCGATTATCGAGTATGTTTGTTTACACTTTACGTAAGAGTGGGCTCGTTTCCTTCTTAACTAATAAATATTCGTGCTTCTTAATAGGAACTTCATTCCGAATCAGTATCCCAGTTGGCTTTTGCCTATTCTCTGTTAGTGATCTTTTGAAAGTTTGCTTGAATTTCTTTTTCGATAACAACTGTCTAATTAAATGACGTACTTTATAACCCAATTATCTACATAATACTAGTCGAAGGCTAATGACATCTGCAGGAATAGATGACTACTGTGTAAGAGATGTATTGAAACCAGAACCCGGCCGGGTTCGTATGATTCTCAGTGGAATCATCAATTTTGCAAGATTTCATGAAGACAACATCTACCTGCTTCAAGCTTACTTGGATAAATCGGTAAAGATCTTGAGGAATCAAGGGTGTACTATTGTTGCAGAGTTGAACGATGACAACTCAATTATCTAGGAAAACGTGGAAATCGAACACCAAAATGAATGTCGAAGACGCCAAGAACTCATAGATCGGCTCGGCATGATAAAGTAAGTAACAAAAGAGTTGCACGCAATACAGTGAGATGGTTTGTCACGTATAATGACTTGGCATCCATAATACAACTTTTGCAGGTTACAACACATCGAAGAGGAACCAGCTGC